ATGTTGTAAATGCAGAGTATAGATATATTAAAGAAAAAAGAAGAAAAAAACATTACCTTCATTGAATCTGCTCATCGCTCATATTATCTTCAAAGTTTAACTATCGTCAACCCCAAGCCTGATTTAATCTGTTATTCGGTGAGCACCTGATGCTAATAAGGCTATGAAAAATCTCCACGAAAGATCAGATGGACCTCATAACCTAAAACAGAACCCCCAAAAAGAAAAAACCCGTATAAATAAATTTGAAAAATAATAATATTAAAAATTACAGAGTATTTCCTTAGGGCGCGTTTGGATGCAGAAATTAACCTGAATGATTCCTATAACACGCCAAGCTTGGTCTTTGAAGACGACAATTTTTTCATCTCCAGGATGGCGAGATCTGAGCTCTTCCCTAACAACTGGAGAACAGGCATTGTGCTCACTGGTCAATTGGTCAGCAGAGATTCCATTGTTCGGCCTATTAAGAACTCCGAGAACAGCCCTTAACTTCTCCTTGACCGGAAATCCTCTTCCTAGTTCCAATGGAAGGAGCGTTGGAGCAGCGACTTTGATAGATCTATTACACCAATCTATGTATTATAGCTGCAATTTCGGTTCCACTGCCCTCTGCTCACAGCCACCAAAATCCACCAGGCATGGTAGAAAACCTAGCCAGCGTCGTCGGTCTCCCACCTTGTTTCGTTGGAAGCCTCGTGGTCCATGGCAATTGGAGGGGTCAAAACCCTAGCCTGTTTGCTTTCTTGTGTTGAGATAAGAGAAAAAAGCATACAGAGGACATGATCTATTGGCGTACAGAAGAAGCTGGCGGGAGTACTGTTTTTAATTGACTAATTTACTGTTCCAATGTGGCTCCTATCTTTGTATATATAGAGATATCGTGGGATGACCAACGACCTTGCAGTGCTCCGTTCGAGAAAATGACGGTTCTTACTCCCCCTACCCCCCTGCCCCCTCAATTTTACCCCCAAATTTAGTTGACTATGGAGTCATTTTTTTGACTCCAAAGTCAACAAAATCTGGGGTGCAATTCAAAGGGAGGGGGGTGGGTTAGGGCCGGGACAAGGTGGGGGTTTTACTTGGGGGGGAGAGTAGCAACCATCAACTTTTTGAACGGATCACCGTAGGGCCCCCGGGTCATCCCAGGACATTCGTCCCAATGTCATGAGAACCAAGCCGATATACGTATGTCCACTACTTTTGTCCATTGTTCTAGAAATCAGCATACGCTTAACGCTCTAGTTGGCAGTCTAAAAACATTTAAGAAGTCATACTTTCGCATACTTCACACTCATTCATGTTTTACTTAGATTTTGTTC